TAGCTGGGGGGGGGGGGGGGCAGCAGAGAAGGCAGTGGTGTCAGTTTAGGTGTTTAATACTGTGATTTAAAGTTGGTCCAGTTTTGGGTATGTGGGGTTTTTTTGGAAACAAGCTTTGTTATCAAGCCAAGCCAGACATTGCTTTCAGAACTCTGCTGCAGATGAAGCTTGTGTGAATCTAATTGATGTGTTGCTGGTAGCTCCAATACTGCCTTATACAAGATCTGTCCAGAAGCAATGATGTGGTCTATTTCAGCTGTAGTATTTGCTTTCTACCCAGCTGTAGTCCATACCCACAACTGAGTATATGCCCTCTTCAAGAGGCTTTGGAGACCTGCCCTGTTAGGAGAGGTGGTTCTACTAAAGCAGGAAACTGAGTTCTACTCATGGCAGTTCAAGCATAAAGTGCTTCTCCTGAACCTGAGGTAGCACTGTGAGGAGCAGATATCTCTATATAGAGATAATCCTGTTTACCCTGAGGACCTGTGGGTCTAATCAGAAGGCTCTTGATACTTCTTGTAAGTCAGCAGGGCCTTTGAAATGGGAGTCCTGCCTGCCCCATAGAGCATGCAGTACTGTGGGAAGGAGAGAAGCTCCACTTGAGCTTTTCCTGCTTAAGCCCTGGAGGGGAGCAGTTACACAGGCTGGGCAATGCAGTAGGTTTAAGTGATCTCTGGGCAGGAGCTTTCAATAGCCATATTGGGTGGGCCTGGCAGCTTTGTTCTGCCTGCTAAGCGCTTAATCCCCTCCTGTTCAGTGTGCTTTGCTTAGCATCCATGATGCAGTTTTAAATGTTCCTAGCTTTTTCTCTCTCCTGACTAATCCCTGTAATGCTGCAGCCAGTCAGTTCTGAGTTTCCTGTGTCTGCTGGAGCTGATGCATGGCATGGGAAGGAGGAGATGGGTAGGTGTTGCTGGTGGTAGGGCTCCCTGAAGAGCTGGGTCTGACTCCTTCCCTGCTATCAACTGCTGCTTTTCTACCTTCCTGTGAAAAGCGGTGCCTAACAAAATAGCTTGGATATAAACTACAGCTTTAAATAAAAAGGCTTAAAATAACTGCTAAAAATCTGCCTTGTGCCTTCAACTGAGTTCTGTATAAATGCACTGTAGGACTGAATTAATTGAAATACCTGCTCTAATAGCAGGTGCTCATAAGGTGCCATAGTATGCTCTGGCATACAGCATTTACTGTAATACTGTGCACAGGACTCAGTGTGCCATTTACCCATATGCTTTTATTGCTATTTTGGGACAAGCTGGCTCAATCATTTATGCACCAGCTGGAAATATATCCTAGTGAGCAGCATCCCCAGGCATGGCTTTTGCCTTGAAGTAGTATCTTAAAGCTAGAGTATACATACAACTGAAGAGTCCCCACTCTCCTGTGTTTTGAAGTCTCTAAATGCAGCCTAGCTGCTCATGAACTCAGTGTTGTTCCATTTTCCTTTGTAGAGAATGAAGATGCCATTTTCCCATGAATGGAGGATGGAACAGCTTCCCAAAATAAAAGCACTCTGGTTTTAGAGTTGACAGCAATATGTCCCCCTTCAGTGTTTTTATTTTCTCAAAACAGTGCTTCCTTCTGATAATAGGCCTATCCAGTCCCTTCTTAGGAGTGGGCTGTGTAGAGATGTGTGGATACTGTTTTGAAAAGGGGATAGCTTTTGTGCTGCATGTTGCAGCTGTGATCAATGAGCTGCTTTGTTAGAGGTGAAGCTGTGTGTCCCAGAGCCCAAGACACTATGCAAAGCAGGTCTCTTGCCACATTGAGGTCACTGCTGCTTGCTTTTTATCCAGCCTTGGCCATAATGACTGCAACTATGTGCACCCAGTATTTAGATCCATGATATTCATCTGGTCTTTTTTCTCTCTCTCTCTCTCTCTCTCTCTCTCTCTCTCTCTCTCCTTTGGCCTTAACGAATTTTCTTGGTTGTTATGTGGGGATACTCAACTGAATTCTTAACAAATACAGCTCCGAATACATCAAACACTGATGGTCACTCTTAGCCAAATACTCAGGTGGACTGCAGTATCATCTGTAGCTGAATGCTGCACCTGCACAGCTTGGAAGAGGTGTATGTAGGCTAGCCTGAACAGGGCCCAGCACCAGGGTCTGTGTACTGGTTGGCAGCAAGTAGAAAACGTGCTGGCAAGACTAACAAGAGAGCATGAGGCTTGCCTTATGGGAATGCTGGGGCATGTGGCAAGACTTCATGTCTTTACATCACAAGTGCAAAGTGAGTACAAGAGTAAATGGATGCTTAACTGGTGTGCCAGGCAGGTAACTTTGATTTCATCAGAGTTGGATGGGATGCAGAAGCAATATTAAAGCAGTGTCAGATTGGGCATGTTCTTGCTTGCCTGGCTAAATCAGAGCCATTAGCAAGAATGACTGCTATTTTGTCACAGGACTGGCAAGCTTGCTTTTAATGAAGACACTTAGGTTAAATTTGTTCTAGTTGTTTGTGGTCAACCTCTCAACAAGTAAGCAAGCATTAAATGAGATGAAGTCCTACTCCAGTGGAGGAGTTCCCTCTGTACATACCACTCCAGTGTATGCTGGTGGTGACTGAAAGTGTGGAGACTTGGCACAGTGGTAGCTTGCAGCTGGTCCCTACCACAACCAGCAATAGATGGTGTGGCAGAAAACTTGCAAGTTCAGCATGTCTACGAGATTGAATATATATCACTGTGTGTGTCTAGCAGAAAGCAGTGTCTAACACTCAAAGGTGGACCCTTGAAGGGAATCACTTACTAGTGGATGACTGTGCTTTTAGGTTAATAAAAGGCTTTTGTTGCCTTTTACATAAAAGGCATGGTTGGTCTAAAAGTCAGAGACTTCAGATCACAATATCTTCTTGTGCCCACAGTGCTTAGGGGTCATGTTCCATGTCTGGCATATGTATCCAACCTGTTTACACTACTGCTGAAGTTTTGCAGGATGGAGAACTAAGACAGGGTTCTGTCTATTTACTTTTTTCTGAAGTTGTATTTCTTTTTTCACTAATGCAGTGTAAGCAGTATATTAGAATCATAGAATCACTTAGGCTGGAAAAGACCTTTAAGATCACTGAGTTCAACCATTAACCTAGTACTGCCAAGTCTACCCCTAAATCATGTCCCTAAGCACCACACCTACATGTCTTTTAAGTTATCTCCAGGGATGGTGACTCCACCACTTCCCTGGGCAGCCTGTTCCAATGCTTGTCAGACCTTTCAGTGAAGTTTTTCCTAATGTCCAATCTAAACCTCCCCTGGTGTAACCTAAGGCAGCTTCCTCTTATTGCTTGTTACTTGGGAGAACAGACTGATACCCACCTTGCTGTAACCTCCTTTCAGGTAGTTGTAGAGCAATAAGGTCTCCCCTCAGCCTCCTCTTCTCCAGACTAATCCTGGTTCCCTCAGCTGCTCCTCATAAGACTTGTGCTCTGGACTCTTCACCAGCTTTGTTGCCCTTCTTTGGACTTACTCCAGCACCTCAATATCTGTCTTGCAGTGAGGGGCTCAAAACTGAACACAGTATTCAAGGTGTGGCTTCACCGGTGCTCAATACAGGGGGGCCATCACTTTCCTTGTCCTGCTGGCCATGCTATTTCTGATACAAGCCAGGATGCTCTTGACCTTCTTGGCCACCTGGGCACAGTGCTGGTTCACATTCAGGTGACTGATGATCAACACCCCAGGTCCTTTTCTGCTGGACAGCTTTTCAGACACTCTTCCCCAGGCCTGTAGCATTGCTTTGGGTGGTTGTGACCCAAGTGCAGGACCTGACACTGAGCCTTGCTGAACCTCAAACAATTGGCCTTGGCCCATGGATCCAGCTTGTCCAGTTCCCTCTGTAGATCCTTCCTACCCTCAAGCTTATCAATGCTTCTGCCCAACTTGGTGTCATCTACAAACTTACTGGGGGTGCACTTGACACCCTCATCCAGCTTGTTGATAAAGATATTAGTTTAGATTAGTATTAACAGAATAGTTCAAGACCTTGTGTCACCAGTTTGTAACACCTTGCAGATCTCAAAGGTGGGAAAAATCTTTGGCCATTCTTTTCCAGTCAGTAACTGTTATCCATAGACATCTGCTTGACTGTATTTAATGATGTTGGAAAACAACTTGTTCAAAACAACTTACAACCTTATTGCAAGGCATGACTTTCTTACCAACCCTTCTCTTAGATTTATGAAGTATTGCACTGCTGAACCAGATATTGGCTTCCTTCATCTGAAGTCTAAGACCCAAATTTTTATATATAAGTTGTAGTATGCATGAAACATCAAGAACTACTAGCTGTGAGGCACCACAAAGGAAAACTAGTTCCTCCATAGCTCTATAATCAAGAAGACTGGATCTTATGGAGCAGTAGTTTCCATGTGTTTTTATTTAATGCCTTGCAGAATGCTGATTCAGCCTTCAGTGTTGATCTATATCTGCCAGTTAACAATGAAACAATTTAAATTCTCCCTCACAAACCCAACTCTACATACCCAATGCCTGGATGATAAATGCTGGACCCTTGTTATGGAAGGTTGAAAAAACATGGAAGTGGGGGGAGAAGAGCCTGTGGAGTGTGGTACTTTAAATGTAAAACACATCTCACAGAGCAGATACAAAGTGATAGACATCAACCTTGCTAAGTCTTTGCTTCCTACTCCCCTTTCTTCCATAAACAGAAAACCATAATCAAGATGTATAATCAGGGAGCTTAAAAATGAATCACTTTTTTTCTTTCAGTGGAAGCTTATAATAGGAGGGATTTAATATTGCAGATACTGTTATCAGACTTCATCTCTTGACTGGCTGGCAGCATCTACATAGCATTCCGCAGTCCATCTGTTTGCTGTCTGAAAGATGGAAGGATGAAACAGTGAAGACAGAAGATCACTGGAAACAGTCTTTAAAATACTGCCTGGAGCTATTGGTTATCTGTAGCCTCACTAGTGAAAGGCATGTTTAAATATGTGAAAGCTGATGTACAGAGAGGATGGGCTTGGAAATATTGTAGTCACTAAGGAAAGAATGAAGGCATTTAAACAAGGTATACATCTGTTGCTAAGGAAGTAATAACTTCTCCCATTTCTAAAAAAAGCAATGATGTATTAAGAGACATTAATATGTTGTCATTGAGAGCTTAAAGTCTAACTTTTTTTTCTTTAGAAAGAGAAAGAGAAGATCAAGAAAAGCAGCAGAGGGAAGAGCAAGAAAAAACTGTAGAACACACTTCTGTAAAGGAAGCAGACAAAACCAGCCGTACAGGACGACGTCCGAGTCGAAGTGCCTTGTCCAGTCGTAATGATCGAAGATCAGCCAAAAGTCCTCAAAAGACAGATGCACCAAAGGAGAATAAACATCCATTTGCTCTGTATGGGTGGGGTGAAAGGCAGACAGATACAGGAAGCCAGAAAACTCACAATGTCTGTGCTTCTGCTTCAGCAAACGAAGTAAGTAAAGCTTCTGGTTCATTGAAGGGCAGTGACTGGTTAGTGCCTGGATAAGTAGTATGTCTTGTATGTGGGTAAAACTTCTCAGGGATGCCTTTGAGTGCAGGGAGATTCTCGCAATAAATTCTAAAAAACAAATTCTAGCAATAAACCTGAAGAGGCTTGACATGTCCAAATCAAATATTTCTTACCTGTTGTTTTTGAAACCGTGTTTGACTTCCAAGTTCTGATCAAACCTTGGCTCTCTTTCTGGCTGTTACCGTTACCAGCAAAACTGGTAGTTAGCACCAGGCATCCCACAGCAGGCAGTTATATAAACACTGGGGTAGTGCTTGTGCTGTGTTACTTTTGCTTGGGCCCCTCCTAGGAGGTACGAATGGATTGCAGGGTTGATGTAAATATTAGGGAGATAACACAGATAAAATTCATATGGTCATGGACAGTACCAGAATTCTGCTGTAAGTGGGGTCCGCTTCCTGGTTTAGCATGAAACGCTAAGGTTGGAGTGTTAAAACAGATCCATTTCTTCCTTTTCTTTAACTCCCCTAGGCTGGTGAAGCATAATCATTAATGTATCCCTGCCAGTGTCTTGTCTTTATCTTACTGCTGATGTAGAGTCTGAATCTGTGACCCAGGATATCTGAGGATTAAGGTGGGTGGTATCCTTGATGTAGAAGATAGAGATGGCTTCTGATGGGCTGGTTTGGAAGGAGTTTGAAGCAGTCTTTTTCCCTCCTGGACAACCCTTTGAGGGAAATGAGGGACTCGGGCCTTGCAGCTCTTGACAGAAGCTGCCCATCCTGATAATGGACACTGTTACTGGGTTGCGGAGCTTTGCTCAGTGGTGGAATTTGACTGGTGCTTTAGGTTGAAGCCTAACAGAGGCAGATGTGTGACTTGAGCGGAAATACTTATACTTCTGAAGACTTATAACATTCCTTATGCTGGAAACATGGAACTCCTAAGATCAGGTCTTAAATCTGGAGTGAATGGACAGGACACTTCCGAAACACTTCCCATGATGCAGTCCCATAAGGATGTTTCTTTAAGTGGGAACTAACTGCTTTTACTGCCTGGCTTGGTCATTTTTCTTGAGTGTTTGAAAGGTGTTACTTTCCCCTGATTGAGTTGTAAATCTGGAGACAGAAGCAAGCAAACATAGGAGCTGGCTCTTAAGATTAAATTTTAGGGAAATATGATAACTTAATAATATAAAAATGTATGTAAGTGTGTCAAATTAAGTTCTTCAGTGCTTAGAAAGGAGTCTCTAGGGAATGGTCTGTTATGGCTTAGGTTTTAAGGGATGCTTGGGCATACTGAGGGATATTTAAGAATTTTAAATAGTAGAAATAGGAGAATCGAGACTTTCAGAGTATGTCAGAGTAAGACAAACATTTAACATTTTGGAATTGTTTAATAGTGTGAAGTGAGAATGTAATGCATAATAGAATTGGAAGTGTTTTTTATAAATGTCTGTGCTTCTCTTAGTGAAGAAAAATTTTCTTCTGTTAATTATCGAAGAAAATACAATCTTCCTAGCAAACCCTCTTTCTTCAGGATGGGGATTGAGACAAATACAAAGTGATTCTCAGCTTTCCTGGAAGGGGGTTCCTAGGCTGTTTTCCTGCTGTAATACTCACTCTGGTCTTTTAGATTCATGAATCTGCTCTGCGAGCAAAGAACAGGAGGCAAGTGGAGAAAAGGAAGCTTTCTCAGAGGCGAGTACGATCAGCGGAAGCGGAGAAAGCTTGGCGAATAAAGCCTTCCCCACCGGATAACCCTTGGATGACGGAATATATGAGATGCTACTCAGCAAGAGCTCGGTGAATTTGGATTCCCTTAGGCATCTTCAGAAGAAGTTATGCATATCAGGACACTGGTGCAAGGAACCAAACTATTTATGCAAGGTTTTTATAGGGAGTTTCCAGCTGTTAAAATATTTGTTACAATATTTTTATCTTGGCTACCTACCTCAGAGTGGGGTGTATCGTTGGAGCCATAACATTTGAAGAGGCTTTTAGATATAGCTACCCAAACTTCTAAACAATTCCCCTTGGGAATTTTTCTAATGCTTCAGTTGACTTTTGGGGGTGGGAGGGGGGAACCTTAGCATACAGGGAGTCAAAGCAAACACTTTTTTGATTGGTAACAAATAATCTGTTGTCCCTTATTTTAAAAACCCAAGTCATAGGGAGGTGGTGTTGGGGAAAGACTTGAAAGGTGTGATGGAGGTGCCTTTGCATTTATAGTACTATTTAATTTAATACTTCTACCAAAATAAGTATATTGACAGGCAACAGGAGAGCCAGTGGGTCTGGTAAACAGCACTAATAAAATGTAGATGCTTTAGGCAGGCAAATACCAAGTATTGTCTGTACATAGAAACTTTCAAAAAACCTTGTTTGATTAGTGAATCTGCTGATGCTATCTTTTATTCCTGTTTCTAAGGTCATTAGAATAAACTACTAATTTTCAGGGCAAGAAACAGCTACAGGATTTTTTTGCTGTTGCTGTGCCTGTTGTACCAAATAACTGATGTAGACAATCATCTGATAGCTCCTGCTCAAAAAGCAGTTGCTTACTCTATCAGTATCAAGTTGTGCCACTGTATTCAGCTCGTGGTCACCCTTACTCTGTGCTTAATCATGTAAATGCATTTACTGAAGTAGAGGGCTGGCTCCTGTCTAATGAAGTCTATTTTTAACAAGAATATCTATTATGCTCAGTGAGGCTCAGAGTGCAATATGCATTCGTTTGGTAGTATTGTACAAGTATACCGTTAAAAGTTTTAAACTTGAAAATCATGTTGATAAAGCTTGTAGATGAAGTTCTGAGAAGCTTTCTGCATCTCAAACTTGGTGCAGAACTCCTTTTCCTACAGGGAGGTGGGGGCTAGGGGAAGAAGGAAGGGTATGTACCCTTTAGTAAACAAAAACAATGGAGCTTAAACACTCTCACTTTGTAGGTTCTACTTCTACAGAGTGGGATAGTCATTGTTTGTGATATCCTTGATGTTGTGTTTTTTTCCCCTCAAGTTGCTGTAAATTTTTTCAGTTTGGTAATTAAGCTTTAGGCAGATTATTGCTGTAGTTGTGAGCTTCAAAGTTTTGTTCAGATGTGTTGTGTGTTATCTCTGTTTAATTGTTTTGAAGCTTGTCTGTTACAGACTGGACACTTTCTCACAGAAAGCACTTGCACTTCTGCAGCAGAAACCTGTACTAATCTTAGCTTGATTCCACAATCTCAGTGAGTAAGCAGGACTCTAGAATTACCATTGCAACAGTTACATGCTGAGTGGAAAGTGATTTTAAGTGTTACTGAAAGGAAGTAATCATGCAAAGGGAGCAAGCACTGCTGCCTCCTAGTGTTAATTACATTATATTGGTAAAGGTTTCATTACTCTTAAATCTAGTGTGTCCTAGAATCCATGAAATCATAATCTGATTTTTATCTGCCTTTTAAGCATATAGATATAAAAATACAGATAACTCTTGTTCAGGCTACCTGCTAGAGATCTTACAGCTTTTAAGTCTGGGAATGCAAAGTATGATGAAGTATGTTTTATACACAGCAAAATTACTGTATTCCATCTCTTAAGAAAACCACAGGGTAGAACTTCCTAAAACTTCAGAACAGTGCCCAAAACTGAGGCAAACTATTCCAGAGGATGCCTTTATATTCCATATGAGATTCTTTTAATTTCCTTTTACAGTTTTCCTCTTTAAATAGCTGTTGTAAATATGCTTATGTTGCTTTGATGCTGTTTCAATTCAGAAATCCACCCTAGCTTTGAACAGTGGTATCAAAGCACTAACTCAGTAGTGCTTAACAGCCTTATTCAATAAAATCTCTTGCCTGTCCCTGTTGCCCACAGGCTTTGCAGGCTTTACGTAACTGCAGCAGATGGACTGTTCCTGCAGTGCACTGTCACATTAAACAGTCTCCTTGATTGTGTAGGGCAGGACTCATCTTGCCATGCTTTCAGAATACAGCTTCTGCAGTTTGCTCTTTGCATGGAGAATGGAGGAGCCAAGATGACTGTGTGCCTGCCTTAAGTACCTATTTTTGGATAAGATGGATCTTTCATTAGATGTTGGTCTTTCAAGAATTCTAGAAGGCTTAAGTGCCTTCTGCCTTGGATACTGGGTACCAGACTTAAAACATCTCAAACAGGCTTGTTCAGGTGTTCTACAGAGCATGAGAGACTTCAGCACTGTCAAAGCTGCTGTGTACTGAGGAAATGATCTAGGTCTTATCCTTGTCTGGTCAAGAGCTGCTCCCCACCAAAACAATTTGCTAGAAGACAGTAGTGACACTAATCAGGTCATGTGAGTCACTGTCATGCTTTTTCAAATGGTCTGTAGCTAAAAATAATCCTGGGTGCTGTGCTGGTACTATCTTGGGTTAAGTGATGTAATGAAGTGAGGGATAAATTCTGCAAATCAGGTAGCCTTCCTGCATCTGGGCATTATTTGTGTTAAAAAAAAAAATTAAAAAAAAAAAAAAAAAAAAGCTAGTAGGTTTGCTTAGACTGTGAAATAGTATAGTTCTGATCACTGCAAATTTTAGATGCAAAATATTTTGGCATGTGCCAGGCTGAAGTCTGGAAAACTGTTATTTTAGCGTTGACATTAACAAATTAAAAGCCAATTGACTTAGCAGAGCTTTTCAAGTGTAAAAGCTTTAACTATATTCCATACATCTTAGAGGATGTGGCTGTTCTGCATCAAATTACTCACTAAAAAATGGAAAACCTAGTGAATGTCACAATTATCAATTAAGTTCTGAACTTTGTCTTGCATGGACTCTTGAATTCAGCCAAGTGATGAACACTTCTCATTCCTGTTTTAGAAGTAAAACATTGTTTGTAAGAACACAGTAAATACTCAGTTGTCCAAAGTCTTCATTAAAATAACTTATTCCTTTTTGTTTCTGAAAGTACTTAGCTAAGTGAAACAAGACTTTTACAATGTGTAATGCTGCCATTTAACTATAGTGTTGTGAAGACTAGTGTTTACAATGTAAAATGTTACAATGAAAACTACATAAGAATGTCCCTGTAAAATACAGTAGCATGCCTATTCAGTCACTGCTGTCAATATCTTTGCACAGACTTTTTCACTGGAAGCTGAGATAGTCAAGGTGATGGCTAAACTTAAGAGCTGAACTTAAACTGAGGGACAGACCTGAATTTTTGGTAAGAACTTTATCTGGGTAGCAAATGCACATTTTAATCAAATTTTTAACATGTAGGGAAGTATCTGTTCTCATTTTTTTTACGGTATAATGCAGTGCCACTGAACTCTAAAGGCCTCTCTGACTACTTTTTTACTGTGATAGGGACCAAAAGCTAGCAATCTGAGGGCCTTGTATGTGGTAACCTGGATCTTCCAGTTTATTTTCCAGCTCAGTGCACTCAGCAGCAAAGCCATATGGAGCCTGACTCAACACCTTGACAGTAGGCCCTAGAAAATTAGGGGTACAAGTAAATGGGAAGCTGCCTCAGCTATTGTTAGCACTGAATTCACTTTAAAAACAATAGGGAAATACCATCTAAGCTTGAAGCAATATGTGTTTTTTAAAGTTTTTAAACAGTATTTGTTTTTACTGCTTCTGTATTGTCTGTATTTAATAGTGTAGTGTCAACTTGTATATGTGAATAAAATGAGTGACACAATGTGCCTTGACTGCTTGTACTGTGTTTTTTGGGGTTTCAGGTTTTCAGCCTTCTACTTGTCCCATGTATTCTCTCTTGGAAAGTGACAGGCTGATGTAATGACTGGTGTTGAGTTAAAATGTGAAATTACCAGACAAGCTCAGCTCTCAGCTAGTCTCCTGTGTTCTTCTGTTACTCTCCCTCAGATTCTTAATACCCTGGCTTTTTCTACCACTAAGAAAAGAAAGAGCCTAAAATATGGCTAGCTACTGAAGCCTTTGGGAATCTTTAGAACTTTCAAAAAGGAGGGTAACATGGGGACAAAAGAGGAAGCTACATCACTAAGAACAATTGTGCCAAAAGGAAAAGTTAAGCTATTGAAGGATGGCTACATTTAAGTTCACTATGCTGCTGGTTCTCTAGTAAATGAAAGACTTGGTGTTTTTACTCTGGCTTTAGATTATTTCTAAAATATTTCTTGAGATTTGTATAGTGTTAATTCTTTTAGCATATAGAGTATCATGCTAATGAGTTAGACCAACATGTGTTTTTATAGCATTCATTTTGTAAGGACTTTTGAGCCATGAGGTACTTAATTGAACACAAAGCATGGTAAATTGACCAAGTAGTCTGGAGAAGCATCTTCCCCTGTACTTCAGCTTGTTTAAAGCATTAACTTCTAAAGCCAAATGCTTCAAGAGGCCTAAACAGATCTGCCCTACTTCTTAGTTCAGACAGAAGGAAGTGCTCCTTTGCAACCACAGGACACAATGTTCTTCTCTATCAGGCTGGCAGCAGCAGGGGTGGGGCCCTCCCAGGCCACAGGCAAAGCTGCCACCAGGGTGCAATAGGGGGAAATACACTGAAAAGCTCCAAAAGCAGCTGCTGCTTTCCCAGCCACATACTGACTGTTCAATGAATTTAGAAGTGGGTTTTTTTCCAAGATCAGCTAAGGCTTGTCACATTACAGACTTCACTCAACAGGCAAAACTGGCACAAGTAAATAGAATTTGCTATAAGAAAGCAAGCTTCTTTATTTGGTGCTAGATACAAGCATTAAATGAAATAGTATATGCCAACAGACTCATTAAAAGGTAAGACATAGGCTTTAATAAGACATTTAAATCTTTTAAAGGTCTGAATAGCTAAAGCTCCACATCCAATAAATCCTAGGATCTAGATACCTGGTATTATTTCATGTAAAACTCCAAGCCCTCTTGCTTTGGTAAAGTAAGAATTTTACACTAAAAGCATACATAATTGAACCTATTTATCACTTACTGTTTAGGTGAGCTAGGTTTGGTTTGCTGCATGAACTATAAAGCTAAAGCTTAAAATCTACTCCAGGGCTGTTATTGGCATGATATTTATTTTTAGAAATAAAAAACTCAGAGGAAAAATAGTAAACAATATAGCTTGCACTGGTGAGAGCTATTGCTTCCAACAGTATTTCCCTCAGGAGTTGGCATTTTAGAAAGTTTCTTTTTAAAATGTGAGATATGCAGCATAAAAGGTTGCAATACTACAAAATGTGCACATTAATCTGGTCAATGTGTATATAGTAAGAGTATACAGTAAAAAAATGGTAAAGACATGTCAAAACTCATTATAATGACACTATTCTTTCCTTCCAGGTAGGAAGGGGACAGCTTAAGACACTTGGTTACAGAAAGAAAAAAAACTGTGCTTACTGCTTCTTAACCACAGACACTTGACCAAAACAATTATAAGAATGAAATATACAAAAGAGGCCAGTCTTGTACATAAAGGGAAAAGGACAGGAAGAAGTGTAAGAAAATCCCTGCCAACCCCCTAAAATTTCTATTTAAAAGCAACAGAAAAAAAAAACAAACAGTCCCTACTCCTTTCAACTGCTACTGTAATAATGGAAAGAAGTTTTGATCCACCAGCCAACACCACTTCAACCATTGTAACAGTGACAGGAGAGAGACCTTTACCTTTGCTTGTGCTATGTCCCAGCTGGTAAGTGCATGCTCAGCTTTCACTTTTGTTCATGTACCAAGAAACCTGATTAGACTGTGGTAAGGGCAGGAATAGACTCCCCAATACCTCATCTTTTCAGAGCATTCCACAATTTGTTTGGCGTTTCAGAACCAACACCCTCCCTTCTCCAGCTCCAGCAGAAACATGACACATTCCAGTTAATAATACACCATTTAGACATGTTATAGAGAACAACCACATCCACCATCTCATTCAGAGGACTTGCTTCTGGGCATTGCTTCCAGTACTCAGGACTGGAAGCCAAGATAAACTGAGTGAGGATTAAGGCAGGTAAGTTTCTTTGGAGTTCTTGGATGTTCTGGTAAATACACAGTTAAGCAGCTTCAAAAATACTTTTATCAGGAAGAGTATACTCCTTGGAAATAATTGTTATCAGTTAAGTAACAAATCCAGTCCTAAATATAACAAGATATATAGGAGAGAGATGGAAAAGGCTTTAGACCCAACAGCCTTCTTAAAACTAAACTAAGGCTTTTTAAAGTATGAAGCAAACTTAATTCCTTTTAATTCAGAGACGACCTAAAGTATATAGTTTTCAGATAAGCATCCATTTGAACCAAAAATGTCAGGACAAAGGGAATAGTTTTAAACATATTTTAAATTTCATGAAAGATGGCATACCTCTGTGTAGCACTCTTGCTTTGCTCTTGTGCATTAACTGCCCTTTAAATTGCAGCATCAGTTCAGTTTTCTGGTTTTGTTTTTAAACATGCATGTGACAACCCTTAAATAGAAAAGATTCATTATATAGAAAACAATAAAGCATGTTAGACCTTGGAATTTTAATACTGGGTTCTGATCAAATTGATTATTTTGTGTTAATTTGTGCTTCCAAGGAGACATTCCATTTCTAGTTCTAGAAGTAACCAAGTAAAAATGTCACTGATTTCCTTCAGTGCAAGTGAAATTGCCCCCTGATTTGGTTGAATTCAGCTACCTACAGAAACACAAGCTTAGTGCTGCAGCTCCTTATGTGGCAAAACAAAAGCCACAGATCTCTTACCTGATCAGCTATCATGGCACACTAAAGTACTTGTGGTTTGGTCCTCCCTCTTGGACTCTCTGCTAATCTCCTGTCTCTAGTTGAGGAATGAGGACAGGATTCCTAATCTCTTGCCCTAAAAAAAAAAAGATCAGTACCAAGACAAATTCTCCTTGCTGAGTTTCACAGGAAGAATGAACTATCTAAGTAGTATGCTTGTGTTTCTCCTTCAATCACATGAGTCTCTTGGGGGCAATGTGGACAGCTTTACATATAGTACACTCACATGAAGTTCAAAGGTAGAGCTCCAGCAAGACAGACTGCAAGTACCTAATTTTAAAATGCAAGTTCTTAATTGTACTTTAAGAGAATGAAATTGGTATTTTAATTTTCATACATTCAGGATACTTCAGAACCACCCATCTGGGTTTCTCAGCAGGTATGCTTCAACAGAGATCGTTTCCACAGCTGACTGATTGCTCTGTTTGTGGCAGAAGGTTAGGAGAGCTCCTACTGTGATAATTCTCCATAAGCCCATGCCCCTGCCCTAGAATTACAACACACACAGAAGATGCACAGTTCTGTTCACACAAACATTTCACTTTCATGATGCCAGTGCTATACAAAACATCAGGACCAAGAAAAAAAATCCAAGACAGTCAACAGCCACTTGACAGAATTAAGTATTTCTTCTAAAGTTTTGAAGTTTGGTAAAAGAGCTTCAGAAGTTATTTAAGAACTGTGATAAAATAGGATATGTGAACATCAATAAAAATTACGTTTTCCAACTTGACATACTAGTAAACATCAGTATGGGCCCTAACCATATGTTGAGAATCCGTCATGTCAACAGCCCGTTAGAATGTGGCAAACTAAGTAGGAAAAAATAAAACAACCGCCACTCACTGACAGTGCCAGTGGTTTTATAATTCAGCTCATAAATATAAACTATTGTGCAACAAACAAACATGACAAAGCCTACCTCTGTTAAATTTGTTTATATGATAAAAAAATAAAATATTAAACTGCTTGTAGTGCAACATTCTATCAGCATACATAAGTATACCATGCTTTGTAAATTTACTGTTACATTATTTACAGTATATAGCAATGCTTTAAACTAGGCAAAAGAACAAAAATAGGAAATGGAAAATGTTTACATACAGGTATGAGTCTTAACACTGTCCACCAAATTATTGAGTTCACTTTGCAGACTTGTGTGTCATGTGAACATTCCTGCCCCACACCACAGCAGCCACCTTTCTGTCAGTGTTCTGCTCTGTTTGTAGATAGCGGAAAGATGTTTTTAAAAACTGCATAGCCTTCAAGCTTTTCTGTTTCTCCAAACACCATTTGCTAGGACAGCTGTAAAATACACAAGAACTCCATCAATTATCTACATCCGATCAATCTGAAAACTCAACTCCTGAAATAATATCAGTAAATACTCACTCCTGCAGAGCCATACCAAAGCTGAACTTAATTAATGCCCTTTCCAGCAGCCTCTTAGTTGAAAGAGATTTTACAGGAGGAAAGTAAGGGAGGACAGCAGTTCAAGGATTCCTATCCATTATTTAAAATTCTGAGTTTTAACTGGGACCTAAGCTCCCACAATACAGAATAAAATATGAGAACAGACATTTGTGTGCTGCCTTATTTAATGTTCTGTAAAGCTTCTGTTGGTGTACACCACTCAAACTGATAAAGAATACGCTAAAAGTGATGCAGCAACTATGCCTGCAGTATTTGTTTAATTTGATATCACTGTCGTCATATTAGTAAAATAAGGATTAATTATATCAGAATAATTAACTACACAGGGAGAAAGGACTGTCCTATGAGCCACTTACTGCATGGAGTTAGGTAAAATCCATAACTATTGAGAGGTGTCTTAAGGACAACTGTTTATAAGAAAGACTAACCACCAAGCTATTCTTACGAGCAGGTTTTGTGACTTCTATGTCTCTTCCTCTACCACTGCTAAAGGGAAAAATATGTTCCTCACTTTCTCTGAAGAATGTCTTTGGAAAACTTTCAGAAGACTGCACACCTATGCCATAGGCTGCAACAGCCCTAGACAAGCTACTTTAGATGACAACACTGCTCAAGCAACAAATACTGTAATTCTCTTGTTTACATTTCTGCTCATAGCAGACAGGAATCAGAATGACTTCAGGTTGCTTTTATGTAGGAAAAAGAAAAGCCAGTTGAAGTTTGAAATCCATTATTACCTTTAATTTTTAAATCTCGATATTTAAACTTTGTATTTTCAGAAAAGACTATATAATAGCTTTGGACAAGATCCTGCACCATATATTTTGTGAATTCTCATTTCTAGTAATATTTTTCCATGATACAACAGAAATTATTCACATTCTCTACAGGGCATTAGATAACTATTAGGGCTATAATGCATTTCAGGAACACAGAATGTTAAAATGTTTTCTACAGTGTTACTCAGATCTAGATATAGCTCAGTAAGAGCACTAGTCTTGCTTTAGTGGGCAGATAGTAGAAGAAAAATCAAAGTATAAAAAAATAATCCTTTCTGCTGTGAATTATTTCACTAGATTGTGTTACTTTACAGGCTAACTAAAAAAGCCAAGCACTTGATACAGCACATATATGAGATAAGGTAATTTACCCAACACCTGAGATTTTTCTAATCTTACCTTTTGTATCTAAAGCAAGTATTTGGGATTTCCTGTTTTGTTTCTTTAACACCCACATTCTTGAGCACTTTGTGCTTGTGCTCTACGTGGTGATCTCAGCTGTCTCAAGGCAGCATCTCCATACTGAATACCTGAACCCATTCTTTCTGGATCCAATTCTCCTGATGAGAAACACAGTGGTCAAGATGATGGATCACATACAAATAATACATTCCAATTTAACTGACAACATTAGATAAAAATGCATTCTGCTCTAGTTATGGAGAGATTTATTGTAATTCTGTTTTCTTTTGGGCGATTCCAAACCTGTATCATTTCCTCCTGTAATTTCAACCATGTGTCCTTAACCATAATTGGAATAATCTCCCCAGGGAGGTGGTGAATTCCCCAACACTGGACACTATTAAGATTCAGCTGGACAGAGTGCCAGGCCATCTTGTCTAGACTTTTGCCAGGAAAGGTTGGACCAGGTGATCCTTAAGGTCCCTTCCAACCTGGTGTTCTATGATCCTATGATAATGACAAAGCAGTTTGTCTCCGAGTTAAGCTGCAATAATAAATGTATTTGCACTAACTTCTTCTAACAAATGAAATGTCCAAAATGTTTTCTGCAAACACTGTTAAAAACCACCTGCTTTCAGAGACTAATATGGAAATAAAGTAGTACTGCAGACACCAAGCCAGACAAAACTGATCAATCCGACAGTAGGATTCCATAAAGTACTGGCCCCAGAGAAAATTATCTCAACCTTCTCTACTTCTGGTATCCATTTCTGCCTACTCCATATCTTACATCTTCAGAAATGTTCTTAGGGCTGTATGGTAGACTGTCCAAGGTTAGAAACATATAGTCTAAAAAAAAAAACCAAAGCCAACAAAACCCAACAAAACCAAAGCAAATAATCCCTCTGAATAACTGACATCACATATTCAGGTTCACTGCACACACGTGAGCCCTTTCTAAGTTAGCAGATGACACCACGTTGAGGGGACCAGTTGATAACTCAAGGGTAGGGCTGCCACTCAGAAAAGACCCTGGCTGAGCTAGAGGAACAGGCCAGCAGAAACCTCATAAAATTCAGCAACTACACTTGCAGAGCTCTGCACCTGTGATGGAACAAGCTCAAGCACTGGGGAGTGACCAGGCAGATAGCAGCAATGGGTTAGCACTGGGACGCATTGCCCAGAAGGGCTATGGAATCTCCACTCCTGGAGCATCTCAAAATGTGCCTCAACAAACCCAGGCAACTTGCTCTCTCTTTGAACATTCTTTAAACAGGAGGCTGGACTAGAGCCCTCCACAGGTTCTTTCCGGTCTCAATTTCTCCATGTTTCAATGCATGTGTGCTGGCACAAAGAAAACATGAGAAGCATTCAGAAAACAGGACTTACTTTTGTTGTGATAATGCCTCTTTAGATCAATCTTGGAACTACTGTACCATGAGAAACTAGCTATACTTTGCATTTTTGTTTGTTTGTTGTTTGTTTAAAAATGAAAGCTGCTGTTTGGCAGTGATTTGATGCAGTAATCAGGAAATTCCTATGAAAATACCATATTCTTTTCATCTAAGAATATGTGTTTGGCATTCAAAATATGTAACTGGAGTCTGACACAGACTTTTCAATATTGCCAATACTTAAAACTTTGAATGACACCTAACACTTAGGAGCCTGTCTCTGATAGAAATCTGCCCACTTGCACTGAGAAGCTTCTGGTATATTTCTAAATCTGCAAAAGTAAAAATGGTTTGAGGCAAGAAGGTCACTTCTGAGAAACACAGTTGCTAGGAAACATCCCTGAAATTTTCAGTATTACTGTTCAGATTCTCTTGAGTGTATTTCCTGCTACATGTGAGAAGCAGAATTAAAAGTTATGCCTGCCCTGATACTAGGTTTTTATTCTGCATTGCTAAAACTGTCTAATGTCAGGCTTGATGTTTGTAGGGACATAGCAAGCCACTGACTGCACAGCCTACACTCAGAGCTGACTTTAAGGTAAACACTGTGTAAAAACATCCATAATTCACACCACCACCCCCTTTTAGATATACATTTCTATTAAAACATATGGGAAGCAGCTATAAACCAAATGTGTTAACAATGAGATTTTGGTTCTTTGGGTTAATTACATTAGACAACTTTGAATGACAGTATTTCCACATGTACTTGCAGTTTTCAAGGGAAAAAGAGACATTGAAATAATATAAATCTCAATTTACCTGATTCAATTTTATTGAGTATTTTTCTTGCACACTGTACAAAGGCCTCTTCAACATTTTCCCCTGTTAGTGCACTTGTTTCCAAGAACATCAGCTCTGCATTTGACACCAGAAAAACAATCTCAAAACAAGTCTGGAATATCTGAATCAAAGCATGAAAGCTAGGAACAATGAATTTAAATTTTCTTAAAAATTATTGTAAAATAGTACAGTCCGGAAAAAATTAGCTTTTGACAGCAAAATCACAAAAAACTCCATCTGAAATTTATACGTAAACCCTAAAAAGTTAGAATCCAAAGATAACAACCTGGGCTGTACATGCAAATTAGCAAATGAAACTAAAGAACTTCATATAATTTCACATTAATAGAAATTTATATGCAAAAAGACAGCCAGTAGCCACAGTTAATAGAAAAGGCTATTCATAATTGATTTATAAAAGAAAAAAAAACATATTTTACTGATGGCAGGACTGCAGCACAGAAGCTCAGACCGAGACTGGCTTTAGCCATCACAGAAATGTGTCCTCAGGCTGGAAATTCTGAACACTACAGACCAGGTAATAGTCCTCTGAGATCCATGAACTCAGTTTCCCATGAGTGAAACTCCTTGCTTCCAACTGCAGCACACTCCATCCAACCTCGTCTATGATCTACAGAATTTTTAAGATGCTGAAAACTAGGAAATTCTGCTCTTCATTTTCTCCTCAGCCCTCTGGAGGCAAGGCAATACCTGAAGTTGTACTACGTTCCCCAGGGAATCTATATCCACATAGAAGCTTTTCTCTGAGTACCAGCTGTGACTGGAAGAATCACTGGTAATGAGACTTAAATAGTACATGTAGTTTTTCACTGCAGGCACTGTTCTTTCTCTATGCCTCATGTACTGACAGAACTCCCTCTTCTGTAGGTATTTGACAAGGTACAGTGGGCAAAGTACTCCCTAACTGCATAAAAATTAAATCAAGTATTAAGCATCTTTGAATGCTACATGAAGATTTTGTGCAACTTACCATTTTCTTGTGCAAACCGGGATGCTTCTAAAAAAGTAACTTCACGATCAGCATCAAGATCCTTTTTGTTTCCACATAGTATTATCACAATATTTTGACTCGCTAACATTCTAGCATCCGTCAACCAATTAGTAAGCGCATTGTAGGTTTCCCGGCTATGTAGAAAATGACATCCTTTATTAGAATATACCCATTTCTCTTGAACAGATCACTGAACTAAAACTCAGAAGACAAATCTGTATTTGTGGCAAGCCACAAATCCCTGCTAGTCAAGTAAGTCACCTACATACCTCCATATGCCAGCCATGAACTGGGAAGAGTATCAAGTTCTTTCATGAAACTATTTAAAAGCTTAAAGTTTTTTAAAAGCAAATTAAATCAGCCACAATATATAAATACACACTGTGCTTAAATACCCTGTTAACGTGAAAAGTTAAAATTTTAAGCACTAATCTATTTTCAGCCTTTCATGCGTGAAATTTTGGGATAACCTACTGTTTAACATGGAATTCAAGCGATACTGAAGTGGGACTGTATGAATTTACTACACTTGTGTAGAATTGTGTGCCTGAATTTTCACATTTGTGCCAAGACCAATAATATCACAGGCAGTTCCCTTGCATACACCATTAGTCCTTGTAGTGGTGGTCAGAGATAAAGCCTTCAAGCAGTAAGACTGACAGATGAGTCCAACTGACATTAAGCACAAAACCCACAGATTTCAAAGACTGCTCAGAGGAGAACAGTCTGCTCACAGGACAAAAAGCAACAGATCGAGTGAATCATTATTAACCAATACAAAACTTATCTAACAAGTATCAGTCAATGGTGGCCACGAAAAAATGTGGGAATGTGTATGGTAAGGTATTCTATTAGCTGCCTATAATATTAAAATATTAAAAGATGCAAAGATAAACAGAATTTTGGGCTACAGTTAAGGAACATGTAGGTAGAGCCAGTTTCTCCAGAGGATGACATGTTATACCAGCATACTAACATGCAGTTTCCACAAATAGGGATGTATCACCTTGGTTAGTCTGCTCTTAGTTTCTGTTGCAAGGCTTCCTGAGCCAGTGGTTGCATGGAGCCCACCATGATTAGAGCAGCTGCTGGTGGGCCAGTTCCCATGTATGTGTCTAAACCTTTGAGACCGTTTAAATTTATGACATTCACAACAGCTCATGTACACAAGTTCCAAAACTTAAATATGCACTAAACCAGAAGTACTTTTTATATCTGTTTTCTTTCCTTCCTGCCCATTCTCTGTTTGATTCTTCCCCAGGTACCTAAGCCTCTTTCTGCATTAATTGTATCTGTAGTCTATAAGCAAAAGAGTTGCTAGTTTTCTTACCTGGTTATATCATAGACAAGCAAAGCACCTGCAGCTCCTCTATAGTAACTCCTTGTTACAGACCTGAAATAGAATTACAGATGTACATTTCTGTAGTATCTTCATTGTTTCAAATCTGGGTTAATATAGTGTAATTTATATTATGGAACAGAATATTCATTTACATATTTAAAATGTGGGTTTTAGATAACATTATCAGCTATACAGCAGAAGATTATTTACAACTAGACTTTTGATGAAGCACTTCCATGAAATGTAGCTGTAAAGGGATTCTCAAAGTCTATTATGACCTGCATACTGCTGAAGCTACACATATTATCATACTATATGGCCTGTTACAGAACTGGAAGCTGATGGTGGTATCTGTGGCATGAAAAGAACATAATTAATTTATGTTTGAACTCTCAGCAGTGAGCAGAGAATGAGCAAAGTAGCTGTAATTGAACAATTTAAGACTCCTTAAGTTCAAGAGGAGGAGGCAAGGAAAGCAAAACAAAGCATCCTTTAAAAGACAGGGGAAAAAAGCAAAAAAACCTGCTAAGTATTCAGAGGTGTGATCAGCCTTAAAAAGAAAAGAAATAGGTTATAAAAAGCAACAGGAAAAAAGGACCCGCAAGTCTGTGAACACTTTGAACTTTAAAGAGCAGGATTTGCACAAGCCTCTGAAAGTAGAGAGCCTCTAAATTCCTCAGAATCCCAGGATATCTGGCCAACACACTGAAGAGATCTCATTAATGGAGACACACAATTTCCCTGACCAAGAAACTATGCCTACTTATAAGCAAGGATAAATAATACCCAACAAGCACAGCAACAATTTAATAACAAATACTTAATAAAATTATTTAAAAGGGTACCTGAATCTCTCTTGTCCTGCTGTATCCCATATCTGCAATTTTACATATTTACCACCAACATTTATGATTTTTGAACCAAATTCCACTCCTATAGTATGATTTGAGTCGTCTTTGACTACAAAAAACAAATAAAACTAGACTTAGAGAATAGATCGAATAATTAGTTTTTACATAATCCATTTTAAGTATAATCAAAACTCCTCAGCATTCAAATTACAAACTACTTCCTGAACCATCAAATTCAGTGCCACTCATAAGTCTACTGCAACCATGTAGAAATAAAAATTCTTACAATTTTTGAACAGCTTATTCAATTCAAAATAATGACTAGAAAGGCCTGCCTTAACCAAATCATTCCCAGTTCACATTAATAAACAGCAAGATAACTTTTGTACATTTTTTTTTCCAACTGTGTTTTCTAATACTTCAATGAAATTTAAAATTAAAATTAATGGAAAAGCAGAATACAAGAAGACAGTCTTGCCCATAAATAAGCAAGAGCTACTTCTTTAAAGGATGAAGTTAAGATACTTGCTCTATGTACACTGTTGATAACACAGATTCTCAGCAACATGCAACTGCCCATACTAGAAGCAAAGTCATGGTTCAAGCTCAGTCATAAAACCATGCCATGTTTCATTACACATTCTTATCCTAGAGCTATTCCTCAGGAGATACGGTGAATTACCATTTGATTGAGAAAGATGTCACCTTAGATTTACAAATGTTTCTAAATGCATATTATTTTTGTTTAATCATGAAACTAAATGCACTACTCAACAGGAAATTTTCTATCATCTGTTCATCTCTAAATAACATTTAGACAGTGGAGTCTCTACCAGTATTTATCATAGAACACAGTCCTTAAAGAACAAAGAATGTCTATTTATTTAGCTTTCTAAATCTGCTCAAGCAATTCAACTTTTCTTTCATCTGCTCAGTATTTTTTCTAAAAGATCCAAGTCTCTGCTGTATGTCTTTATAGCTGCAAGATAAGTCTCACAAAAAGTAAGTTTATATTTTTATCAACATGCTGCTATATTTATTTGAGAGTAACAGAGAATACTACTCAATATCAGGCTTTTGATTAGAGGCAAACAGTGAACAATAAAGATTTACAGCATGGTTCTGAACATAATTCTCAGTCAAAATCATCATCTATACAAATAAGAGTATTACTGGAACTTCCATACAAAGAAGAGATAATCATGTAGGCAGAGCCTTTGTCTGTGGCACAAAGCAATGGAGAATACTTACTGTGCTCACGCATACTTACATTTCTTTTCAATAAATTGGTGTAGTAAACAGGATTTTCCAGTTCCAGCATTTCCTATGACCAAGAACTTAAACAGGAAATCTGAAGATTGAAAGACAAAAAATAAAGCTAAATTTTAGTACGCAGTCACATTTTTGTCACAAGACCAAGTACACAAGCCAGTTACTCTCTAGTAGCCATTATTTCAAAGAGAAGGGAATAGATGACAAAATTAGCAGAATAACAATAAATCTGAAGAATAACCAGTGTATTCAACAGTGATGTTACAAAGAGCTAAGAAAGCTACTTGGTATGGAGATACAAGAATGACGAGATGGAAACAGCTGAATTTGAATTCAGTTAAATTAGACTGAATTACAGGTATATGGTTGACTTGTATTTCAGCAACTATTTTTAAGGGTATGTAAGCTACTAATTATAGTCAGTACAAATGCTCTAAATAATGATGATGTCCCTTAAAAATCTGGGTTTGTACTTTTAAAACTTTTGTATTTTTTTTATTTTCATCACATAATTTCAACTTCTCTATATTAACTGCTTAATACTCCTTCATTTTAATACTTGTAAAGCTGAAACAACTTCAATATATTTCTACAGAATTTATGGGAAAGAAGTGATTTTTATCCTGGGATGCCTGCTTTCACAATTCCTCCGCATGGTAAATTACGATATAGGTACTTCTGGTAGTTATTTATGAGCCATTTACATCAGTAACACATGTATTCAAGATTTATGGTCCATTTGCCTTGTTTTAACAGTTGCATATAGTGCTTTAATACTACCTCCCCAGCTCTGATTTCAGTTTGGCTGAAGACTGAGGAAAGCTTCCTCATCTTACCACACTCAAACATATACACTGATAAACTGTCACTAGAAAGCTTACAATTGCTTCCCCCAATATATAGCCACTAAGGCAACCTTAACAGTTCCTGCAAGATTCAGTACTTATTTTTCTACCAGCAGCAGGTTTTTTTACAGTCATTTTTACAACTTTACTGCACAGTTTCTCTTATAAACATAGCAGGTCTCCAGAAGACATCAGGTAAACATGCAAAGAAAAGGATCGTTTGCATTATCAACAAAAATAAAAACATAACATGAATTTAATTAACAGTGTTCAGAGCTGTTCAGAGGGTTACACAGATATTGGCCCAGGGGATGTCAGAATAAACCCGTTAGGCTATCCTAAGCAAGTCAAAGCAATGATACATTACCCTACCAGAACCCTGTTTAAGTCTTTAGTTTTACAGATTTAATTTAACATGCGCACAAATCTACGTGCTCATTCCATATCATGCAGCAATTGTTATTTGTTATGGTACATTATAAACACCCCTTAGCAATGGTAAAAGCAACAAGCAAGTTTCTCATATGGTAAGAAAACTCCCACTGCTGAAAATTCAATAGCAAAACAGAGGGCTAGGAGTCCTGGGAATGTTGTCTTTACTTGCCTTCCAAACATTATTCCTATTTAAAGTGAGGTCGTGTTTTACCAAGGATTTTTCTTTTTTTTTTTTTTTTTTTTACATTTTACCTTGACATGATTTGTTTCATTTCAAATGTTATAACAGGCTTGATATAAATTCTATATTCTACCCTTCTAAGAATTGCTGATTCTTGCTCACAAATATGACCACTTACATGCTCAAGACATTCTGTTCCAAACTCCTCTCATTCTTCACGCCCCCACCCAGCTGCTCATGCTTTCTGGATGAAAAAAATAGTTACAAAAAGGATTTTGATTCAGGTCATGAAATCGTGTGTTATCTCCTGTAAAGAAGTGTCCTTCGTGTCATCTCAACTGCAAAACACACTGAAGCTGAGAATGCTTCATTCTATTAAATCTTCACTGTTAGTATGAAACCTAACATATAGCCCCAAAGTGTTAGGTTAAGAAAATATTAATCTCTGAAAGAATGAAGTTTCTCTTTTTATGGACCAAATATCACTAGTTAGCTGCCTTGTGTACCTTTTGTATATTTAAACTACCGTGGGTGTGTGTAATCTCACTGGTTTTACCACTTTCAGAGAGTTCCTCAAAATGGGAGATGTTCTGAGACAGTCAGGATTAAAATAATCTGTTTCTGGTCTCTACAGTTTTTCCAAAAATAAATTCAAAATCCAGCTAAAACTGGTTCTCCTAAGTATCTGGTGAATGCTGTTTGTCAGATTTTTTTGTTAAAAACAATTTAAGTCTACCTTCCTTTTTTCATAGAACATTATCAACAGTAGTATAACATCTACTGTCAAACTAAACCAGGAGAAGATTAAAACCAAAACCTTACTCCTACACTAATTTGCCCTGTGATTGTAAGCACTGGTTGTTAAATATGGTTCACAAAGCCAAACTTGCACAATCCACAAATCCAGGCTGAACAACAAACTTAACACGCTGATCTGTTCTGCACAGACAGGCCGCAGGCCAGCGAGAAACTGAGACAGCAGTGTCACTGGCAGGGACTGATCTGGAATAGCTTCAGCACGCAGTGTATTTTTCCTGAGGTGTTTTAAGTTGAGGTGCTTTATCTTTCGCTCTGAAAGCAAGAATGATATTCAGGGATTTTATATTCATGTCTTTAAACTGATAAAGCATTCTAGCAGCAGTTTATAATATGACTCGCAATTCCTATCAAGATTCTGTTGTGCCAGACAACTTCAAAAGGGAATCTCTCCTACAAATAAATCACTTAAATGCCAATTCAATACCTGCTTACTTAGTAGACAAAAAGTGTATTTCCTTCCGGCAAAATAACAAACAGATTTTCTAAGGAGAAACTTGGAACTGCAGTTACTTGCAGACTGTAAACAAGTGAATTGGAAATGTGGTTTATTCTAGCACACAATGTAAATACAAAAATCTTGTAATAAAAAGTAAAACCTTTCTGCACCAAGGAAGGCAACAATGTTTCCAAACACAGGCAGACTTGTGGAGTAAATGACACTTTAAAGTTACATTCACAAAGGAAACTGTGCTTCTATCAGTTTAAACTTCAATTTAATGTAAATTGTCGAAGCAGCAAAAGGTTTTGAGAGTTACATTTACACAAGCACTGGATAACATGTTTCAGGAAATGGGGAATACTCTACACATTTAATCCACTGCCAGGAAAAGACAGAAAAAGAATTTGCCAATACCCAAAGTCACAAATATCCAATTTATCAAGTTTTTAAGTTCACAGTCTAGCACATTAATGAGTAAGGTAATAGTAAGTAAGAACAGGAAGAACATTTTTCATTTTATTATTCTGGAACTTCTTGCTTATAATGTTATTCTGTATGATAATGGGAACTGCATCAATCACATTTTTATAACTTTTTTTATTGCTTGATTTAGGACATGAAATATCTTTTCTTTGAACTGTACAGATGTATCTAAAAAGTTAGCACAGTTCAGAAATACAAAAACTGAATGAGACTGGACAGATAGCTTCTCTTAACCCAGCTGTAACATCACTGTGTACTCTCACGCTCATGAAAAACTTCTATCTATTCATTCTTTGCAATTTCAACAAAGGCAGCTCATGTTCCAGTGTTTGCTTTACTGCTTAATTGCTCTAGCTTTTCCTTTTGGTGTCCTCTTCCTAGAGGAGTTAAGTCACTTCACAGCTTGCTCTTTTCTTCCTGCGATTGACAAAGCAGCTCTGAGCTCCAACATTCCAGATAACTGCCAAGGCTGTCACCCTAGAGAAGTTTTTCTTTTGAATTCTGCTGTCCCTCCTTCATGAAAAAGCTGAAAAGCAACACCATTCAGATGTTGCAAATGCTTCCTACCATGCTGACTACTGAAAAGGTCTAGAAAAGTTGAAGTACTTTGCCTGTAAATAAGATCATCATTATACAGAAAGGATTTAGGACAAAAACTGAACTCTGTCAGAAGGAAAGTGGGTTACAAGACATACACTAGAGAAATCATAAAGAGATAATAAAATAGCATAGCACGGCTGTTTAAGGAAATAAGGCAATATAAAGAATCAACTTACTCCCCTTTGTGAGCTACATGCATCACCTGATCCCAAACTGGGTAGGGGGTACAGTGAACAAAACTTTTTTTCTAGTATAAGTGAAAAGGAGTAAAACTGCGGCTCTCAAAGATGGACCAGCAGCTAAACTACATGGGGGGGGGATGAGGGGGGCGGGGTAAGGAGGAAGAGGGTGAGCTGAGGGGAAAGGAGAAGGGAAACGATTGTGGGCTTTGACTCAAGAACCAGCAAAAACAGATGGTTGATGCGGAAACCACCCCCAGACAGACAGCCACCTTCTCTGACTGAAGTTTACTCCAGCAGAAGGAATAAATAGCAGCTTCTAAGCTACTGCAGCTTAGTCTTTAAAAGGTAATGAGAAATAAATTGTTTCTTGTATGCTTGCTAATACAGAAGGGGGGGAGGGCAGGGGGGAAGACCAAATTAAATCCTCAATTTCAATTCGGTCTTCTTCCAATTCCTGGATAAAGAGTAGAACTTACATTCACTAATGCTCTTCGGAAACTCTGTCATTCACACCATGAAAAGAGTCTTCTGGTAGTTAGACACCTATTTTGCAGAAGTCTGCATAACGAAACAGTGCTCTGAAGCATTCCTACTGGCATATGCTGCCTCTAAACAAGAGAAAAGAGGAGCTATTCTCCCTGCTCACTCCTTTCTCTAGCAATAAGAGTTAACAAGATAAACAGGTAGAACAGATAAACCTGGTTCTATTCCAATCTGCATAATGAATGCTTGAAAGTGGGAAGATCTGCAAAGATCTTACAAGCAAAAGGGCTATGCCCTCTAAGCAATAAAAATCAGATTTGGAATAAACTGAGGGCCAGGGTGATAAATGCAGAGACCAACAGATAAGGGAGGTGGGCGGGAGGCAGGGAATGTGCAAATAAGCATGAATCAAGTTGTCCAGACCAAAAAGGAATATTTTTACACAGACTGAAAGACTACATTCCCTGACAATGACAGAGATTAATAAACTTATGTGACCAGACTGGGAGTAGTAGATACTGATGGAAGAAACACAGGGAATTAAGTACTAAAGAGATTTGACTACAATCACATACTTACATATCACATTTACTCAAAGGTAGTACCACCTTTCTTCTAGCCTCCTATGATTTAAAATCCAAAGGTTGCTTTGCATTTATCTATTAAGGGTAAGCTATTTTTATGTCAGTCTATATTTACCATAACACAAAACCACATACATTTTGCACTTGAAAATGGGAGAAAGCATGAAGGCATTGTTGCATGGTAACTATCTACAGAGAAGCTACATCTCAAAAAACTTGAGTTAAAATAATTTTCCTATGAGAGATGTGTTTCCAATGTTACAAGACAAACTTTTTGAACAATGACCGTCCTCTTCCAAAAGCAGCAGTAAAATGTTCTTTCTAAACTTACGTCTCAAAATTCATGCAGTTGTCTTGTATTCATGATTGTTTTCATTTTGGTTTTGGCACTTTAAGAGAAATAAATTGATCACATAGGAAAGGGATAAACAGATTAGAAAACTAAGAACAGAAGACATACAACTAATGAAACAGATCTACAGGAGAGAAAACATAGACTGCAAACAAAGAATTTAGTGCCAAGACTGTGAGAGGCTACAGACCTTGGTTTGAAAAGAGGGAAGAAACAAGAATCACAGTAAGGGACAGAAATAGTTGGGAAAACTGGATGAACAGAAAAGTTTCAAAGACAGAATCTGATACAAAGAACTCAGGGGTGGAAAAAAAGAAAAACAGGAAGAGTCATATGGTGGATAATTAAGTATAATAGGCAGAAAGGACAGACAAGAAGAAAGGCTCTCTATTTCTCATGGATTGAGAAAAATGCAGAAAAAATATCCCCCCTTCAAAGGGTAGAGAAGTTGAAACTTCACAGCAAAATTAAAGTCATATAAAAGACAGCAAAATGACATTGAAAAAAAACCCAAACCACATTCCTGAGCCTATCTGTATGGGACAAAAAGCTTGAGATTACATAATTAGAATGGGTCATAATCCATGATAAAAATCCATGACAAAAAGAAAAACGCAATTCATGAATAAGCATCTGCAAGGGCAGAATCTACAGTGATCCCAGCACTGAGGTGTTACAGTGACCACTGATCTGTCACCAGGGAGAAACTGTCCTAACACTTCTATCATCCCTGAAGATCACTGTAACAGCTGGTCAGAAACAAACCACTCTTTGTTAGGACTGTGAGTACATTAAATCCCGGAGAGTTCATTGAGCACAGAAGATCCACTATTTTATCATATCATGCTGTTTACTTTGAACTGTCAATTGGGCTGCTACATAGGCAGACAGGACACTGCAAAACTAGATACTGATTATTGTTATGATCAGAGATGGCATAGCTGTTGTTAAATTTTATGTTATAACTTAGTTTTTATTCTATCTATTCTAAACCTTGACACTTTCAATTATTCTAGCTCAGAATTTCTGTAGCTTGTGTATGAATAGAACAAACATTGAAACTCAGAAGAGAAATACACCAAACAAGAATTAAACAAACAAAAGGAACAACTCATAACTCCAATTTTATGGGCTTACTTTCTAGGACACCAAACCAATCATAACAGCTACATTGGGCTTACAATCACTATTTTGCATCACTGAAACAATGCAAAAAATGTTGAAATGTACTTGTTTAAGATACAATAATCTATTCAGCTTGCTAACTATTACAACATAAAAAGAGGAGCACCGCTGAA